TCTCCTATGCAAGCTTGACGTTCCCTGTGGACTGCCGGTAGATCGAGTATTTGACACGTGGATCGCGCATGAGTGCAGCTAACTTCTTGACACTGGAGACTTCCAGGTCGCAATGCCTCCGTGATCGGTCTTTTGCTAGATAACTTGAGATGGTGTGAGGACAGGTCTTGTGATGTTGCTCTGAATGTCCTGAGGAAGACCTTACTCGCTCGATTTCCATGTGCGTGCTCTCATCGTTGGACTAGGCGGACAACCGGCAAGTTGGTCTCTCGACCGTCAACTCCCCAACTCTCAAGTCATTGCAGTGGACATTGTAGACTTGGGCATCCACCAAGTACTTTGCTTTGCCGAGGCCGTAAGTTTGTCCATTTTGAACTGTCTGTTCCTATCTGCGGTATTTTTTCCGAAGATGCAGGGTTGAAGTTACTTGTTGATTGTGTGCATCAGGTTAGCGTCTGTTGTCGTTAATCAGCCCGGTGGATTACCCAACAAACAGAACTTCAACAGCCAATTGCACACCCAATGTCCCAATTCTACAGGCAATGGAAGACATAACTAGAAAAGTATGCTCCAGAGTCTGTGGCCATAGAATTAGTCAGAGGGCACGTGGAATAGGAGGGATAGTGGGCTTTGAGTCAAGAATGAGGACAAAAACAGATGCTGTAGGGTAGTCAAGCTGTGAAGTCAAGGTGAAGACGGTCAAGCCCCACCAAACTCGGTGGTTCGCTGAGCGTTTACGATAAGATAAGCCAGAATTTTAATTTTTTCGAGTCTCTACGGCTTCTTCAACACCATACGACCGCGATAGCTTCGCAATCCAGGCCCAAAGACAAATAATGGCGCCAATTGACCACGCCGCCGCCAAGGCTGAAAAGAAGGCGAAAAAGGAGAAGAAGCGAGCCCGAGAAGAAGATGCAGCTGCCGACACCGAGCGAAAGCATAAAAAGTCAAAGAGCGTTGCTGCCGCAGAAGTATCTGAAGCGAGCAGCGATTTGAAGGCTGAGAAGAAAAAGAAGAAGAGCAAGAAGGACAAGCATGCTGAAGATGCTGTCGCGCAACCAGAGACAGAAGCTCCCGCATTAGAAGACAAGCCGGAGAAGAAACATAAGAAGAAGAAGCATCATGATGTGGAAGTCGCAGCTACAGAAGAGGTCGACACCCCGGCTGTAGCGGATAGCGAGAAGAAAAAGAAGAGCAAGAAGAAGCACAAGGCAACCGAAGCGATAGAAATTGCAGAGCGACCCAAAAAGTCCAAGAAGGACGCGACCAATGTTGAGCCCGAGGAGGATGCTTCACCCGCCGACCCTGACGCTATGGATGTTGACATGCCTCCTCCAGCCAAACCTTCAAAGTCGAGCAGCAACATTTATCAACCACCCGATATCCCCGCGAACCCTCAATTCCCCTTCTTCACACAGACCGTGTCACTCTACGAGCCTCTCTTCCCCATTGGCTGGGCGCAGCCGGTCACAAACTGCCAGCAACAGCACCTCTCACATCTCCGAAACAAGTACGTGCCTTCGCTGCGCGGTGTTCTCCTCGATTACAAGAATGTTGCCTTTGGCGAAAACCCTGGACGAAAGGGCGCGGCTACGGATGATGAGTCGCCAGCGACTGTCATGGCCAAGGGCGAGTCTGCTGTTGGCTTTGGCTGGATTACTGCCGATGTTGATCTTTTCGTGCCGAGTCGCGGTGCTTGGATGGAGGGCAGTGTTAACCTGCAGACTGAGGGACACATTGGCGTTGTCTGCTTCGGCAAGTTCAATGCTTCAATTGAAGCTCGTCGACTTCCTCCCGACTGGAAGTGGGTTCCCAACGAATCCCCCGAGGCCCAAGGCTTCGAGGAGACCGCATCAGTCATCACCGCCGACGATCACGGTGTAGTTCGTCAAATTCACAGCACCGGTTTCTGGGCCGACGGCAACGGCGACAAAGTTAAGGGCAAGATTCGCTTCCGGATACGTAACTTCGACGTCGGCACCAGCGGTGAGACCAGCTATCTCAGCTTGGAGGGCACAATGCTCGACAAGGCCGGTGAGAAGGCCGTTGTTGCTGAAGAAGCAGAGACAGCCAAGATGCGAAAGGGCAAGAAGGGCAGCCAGCGCGTCCAGAGAAGACGTATTCCCGAGTTCGCAATGACGCGCTTCGCTGTAGAGGGAGAGGAGGAGACAGAGGACAACGAGGCAGAGAAGCGTGAGGTGTTGGCGCTGCCCGAGGATCTGTAAAAAGAGAAAAGTATGGGACTATAGGGAGCCAGGAGTTCTGTGATACCTCGATTTAATGATGAACACTGTTATCAAAAAGTTTGCGCTAATGCTAAAAGATCGCTCTGCCTTTGTCGTTACAAAAGGATCCTGCCCAGTACTTATATACAAAAACGACCCAATCCTTAACGCCGAATATGTGATACATAAAGACTGCTCATGCAGCAGCCTTGACCATAGGCTCCCATGGCCGAGCCAAGTTCCAGAGATATACTTCTCCGACGGGCTCTTCGCCTAAAGCCTTGACGAGAATGTGTTGAAAGAGAGGGACGTTGGAGAAGAGAGGGGCAACGGGAGAGATCGATCCTCGATCCCAACCTGGAGAAAGACCATGCGCCCATGAAGGCTGTCGGACGAAGTCCTCAACCTTGTCGTGATATGCATCCCAGTCACCAGAGTGATCATTCACGACAACCTGAAACCTCACACCCTGAATATCAACAGTGATGCGCTGCACCATACTCGGAAACCCAGCCTCAGCACCCGAGCTCAGAATCCAGGAATAATCCGTCTGATCACCGTTACTCTCCCAATCATACCAAACCTGTGTTCCCATTTCAGAAAAGTCATTAAGAACAAGACGACCTTCCGCATCAAAGCTCAGCTCACAGTGTCGTGCGTCAATACCTGGCAGTGAAGGGAGGACAATATCGCATATTGATGGATCGGAACCGAGAACGAAAGATCCAGGGCGCTTGGGGGCTTTGTCGAAAGATAGTTTAATGGCGCGAGAGGGACGGCTGCCGAGGAGGTTTGGGAGGCGAGAGTGCAAAGTTGGGGATGAGGTTGTTTGCACGGCGCGGGAGACGTTGGATGGCAGATGGGTTGTTTTGTCAGCGAGAGAGTTACGCGCTGTAGGGACTAGCCAGGCGATGATGTCGGACATGATGATTATAAAAGATTGAAGTTGAGAGAGTGTGGTGTTGTAGTGAGGGTATGTAGTGAGTTGACCAAAGATGGTGATGATGATAGTGGCGGTATAGTATAACAAGGCTCAAACGAGAGAAGCCAAATACTCAAAGTGATATAAATGATCTAGTTGTGATAGAATAAAAAGACGAAAGCACGCTGGAAAAAAGACTGTCGACTTAATCTTGGTGGTGTTGACCTACGGTTTATATCGTAAGTCAACACCTCACCCAACGCCGTTGCGCCGACAACCACTGGCCATCAATGCACCGCACCGAACGCGACGCGAATACCATGAGAGGCTCAGATAGAAAAATACTCGAAAACACTTGTTTCAATCTGCTAGGCTGCTCTGCGTTGTGGTGTTTGAGCGTGGGTGAATGAGAGCCAATCATTTTTGGTGGTCCTGGAGATGGAGGCATCGGAGCCACTGAACTAGAAGGGATAGGCACATGATTGAGGTAGAGAGGATAGGAGATATTTGAGTCTCTGGGAGGGTTTGGGTGAGGGGATTTGATGTGTTGTTTGAAGTGGTAGGTTGGAGTATGCTTCGTTGAGCGGTCGTGGAGTTGGACCCTGCATGCATTTAACTGACTCATAGGTGTTTTGTTTCATAGACTGTGCCTTTGAGATCTCATCTCGAAAAGAACCTCGTGATTGATATAAGATCTGTCTCTGAAGAGAAGTTTGGCTTTGCTTTTAGGCATACTGCAACTTGTTTCATACCAATTAGGCAATCATCGACTCACGCAGTCTACGTTACTCGACAAGAATAGCCAAAACATGATACGAAAAAAAAAGAAGGGGGTTATCTTGAAATTGGACTGGGTGGCTGGTCCTGTCTCTTGGCTAATAAAGGAGTGGGATTATCTGAGGCATGGTCTTCGACTTGGCAGCCTGTTGAGTAGCATAATGTCTAGCTCTAGGGCTACCACAGGAACAGACTGAGCATGAGCAATTGTCCTGAGTACAAACTCGCAGATCCATAGTTTGACTGTTTTCTGCTTCTATCCATCAGCCCTCAAGGTTTGTTACTTTGCGACATATTATTTGGTTGACCCTCGGCGATGGTGTACGTAAGAGAGAGTCTGAGTCTCAAGATTCGGCAGCCGGAAAGGATGGAAGAGCTGGTATATATGCTAAATCGTGGACTTGCTAACAAAGTCTCTCAACTCATGTAAACAATCATTATTATTCACGTGTTTGTTGGCTTGCTTGTACTTTGTCTTGCTACCCATCATGCATACACCATCTACCGAGGCAGCAAAGACAAACTGGTGACAATTACAAAGGCAATTCTCTTCAAGAGTTTATTATAAATAGTCCTCTTTCTTCCAGGCTGGACTTTATCCTATTAAGGTTTCCCTTCCTATCTTATATATTATCGGCCTCGAGCACTATATATAATATTTACTTCTACTACAGTCTCTTACAACCCTTAGGTTTAAAATACCAGGATGGCATCAGTCTGCCTTCGGTTCAAGCAAGGCTTGAGGGAGAGTATTAGTTCGTTACATCCCATAGGAAGACTTTGTCAATGTAAAGGAGCTCTTTGTGCTTTTGGCCTGGTCTAGCTACTTTCAGGTACTGACACAACGAGCACATGAAGGCTCGTGGAATTAAATGGGATGTGAGGTGTTCTCCGACTTTTGGCACTGCGAGCCAGCCGCCGGAGAGCGTGAGTGGTTCACTGCCGCTTGCCAACGCCCGTAACAAAAGTCGTTTCCCCTTCTCTCTAGAAGCCCACGATCTTATTTCTTCGGCAGACCTGACATTTCTCTCTTTCTCTTTCTCTTCCTCGTTCTCATCTCATCGTCAACCTCCACGATGGATAAACCCGACGACCACGCGATCGCCCTCAGCATTGCGCAGGCCGTCGAGGCCGATGCAGAGCTGATTGCCGCCCTCATTCGTGAAGAAGAACAGGCCAGACAAGACTTCGAATTGGCTAGGCAGCTGGCACACAACCCAAATGCTATGGCTGAAGCTGATGGCGGCGCTGACCATGGTGAGCTCGATGACGAAACTTACCGTACCCTGCGAGCTTTCAACATCGCTGCGCAGCATGAGGAGAACACTGGAGTTGAGGCGGAACCCATCCATGAAGAAACTCACGAAGCCTCGAGTGTTGCTGGAGGAGATGAGACAGATGATGGGAATACCACTGATGACGACCCGCAGGCTGACGCTGAGGACCAAAACAACCGCGAAGCTTCTCAAGATGACGTCTTCCACATGGACGAAGCTGAGATCCAGGCAGAGGACAGCCAAATCGACGGTATCCAACACGAGGACACCCAGGAAGAGCGAGATGCGGACGAGCACCCAGGAACCGCTCAGGCCGCGTCTCCCGCTCATTCAGACCTACGCGTCGGAACGAAGGAGTGTCTATACTGCACTGAAGAGTTCCCCGAAGATGAGGTTTTCGAAGCACCCTGCTCCCACGGAATGTGCCAGCCATGTCTCATTAGAGGCATTCAAACGGCGATCAAAGACGAGTCCCTCTTCCCACCGAAGTGCTGTGGCCAAGCCATTCCGGTGAACGCCACAAACGCTTTCATCACAGAGGACTTGTTGACCGAGTATGACAACAAACATGAGGAGTTCGAAACAACCGACCGCAAGTACTGCAGCGACAAGGCATGCTCTGCTTTCATACCTCTGCGTGCCATCGAAGCTGGCGTTGCTCGCTGCACTCGCTGCGAGAAGAGGACGTGCCTTAATTGTCTGAGCGAGGCACACGAGGGTACATGTATCGACGACCCCGAGTCACAACGAGTTGTTCGCCTAGCAGAAGAAAATGGATGGCGAAGTTGTGATCGGTGCAAGAACATGGTCGAGCTGACACATGGCTGTTTTCACATCTGTAAGTTATCGATCATCATGCATCTTTGCGTTCTGGACCTTGTCTGACTATTTATCCAATGTAGCATGTCGATGCGGCCACCAATTCTGTTACCGATGCGGGAGACAATGGAAGACCTGTAACTGTCCCCAATGGGAGGAGCGTCACCTCGTGGCGCGGGCAGTAGAACTCGCTGCTGCACAGGCACAGGCACGAGCACGAGCACGAGCACTAGCACCCGTGGCGCGACCCGTTCAACCCCCTGGATGCCGTCACCGAAACTACAGGCCTTTTGACCGTGTGGAGGGTGAAGATGAGTGCGACGATTGTGGGACTCAGATGCGGCAATTCATCTTGTCTTGCCCAGAGTGTGATCTCGTGCTTTGCCGTCGCTGCCTCGACACTCGCCGAAGCCAGAGGAGAAATGCACGTTGAAGTTGGCCGAGCCTTTTAGCTTCCTCGGATCTCACCTCCACTCGGATCCGATTTGGTGGAGCTGTTAGTGGTTTGGTGGGAAACCTCACACAAACACTAACGTTGACGCCATCAAGTCGCTGGACAACACCATCCCGCGGATAGAGCCATTGCCCTCGATAGCAATATTTCCGATAGATATTTCTTGTAGCGATGTACATTCAAGGAATACAATAATAGAATTTGTCGCCAAACACCGACCCAAAAGGCCTCATATTACCATCCCTTCAATTACCTTTTAGGAGTGCACCTACATTCAGTAACGCCTTCGACAACTATTAATATGCGCCCTCCAGCTTGGATACAGCCAGTGCTATTAACAAGCTCTCTGTTGGTACAAAACACTAATGCTCTATTTACCTACGAAGCACAAGACCAGGCCGTTCTATCGCCAAATGATGACGCTGCACAGAGTGAACCCAAGACAAGGCTTGGTGGGAAGAAGAACATTGTCTTCATTCTCACAGATGACCAAGACGCTGTCCTAGACTCTGTCTCTTATATGCCCAAATTAAAAGAACATATTATTGACAAGGGCACATCGTTTGTCAACCATTTCACCACCACGGCAATTTGCTGTCCATCCCGTGTTGCACTTTGGACAGGGAAACAGCCTCATAACACTAATGTAACTGACGTCAATCCACCGTATGGTAAGTTGAAGGTCTCGAGTACTACTCGCATAAGATGCTGATCGAAAAGGTGGCTTCCCTAAGTTCGTCTCACAAGGACTAAACGAGAATTACTTGCCCGTGTGGTTGAAGGAAGCCGGGTACAAGACATACTACACCGGCAAGCTCTTCAATGCCCACACCATACACAATTACAACTCGCCTTATCCTGCGGGATGGACAGGAACCAACTTCCTCCTTGATCCGGGTACTTATGACTACCTGAACCCCATCTACCAGCATAACCAGGAGCCGCCAGTTCAACATAAAGGAGTACACACTTCAGACTTGATTTCCAAGTATGCACATGAGCTTCTGAAGGAAGCCACCGATTCCAAGAATCCATTCTTCATCGCTATTGCGCCTGTTGCGCCGCACTCCAACGTTAACCTGAGACGGCAACCTGGAACTCCGAGGGCACCTCTTATGACTACTCCTATTCCTCTCGAGAGGCACACTCATCTTTTTGAGGGGGTAAAGGTCCCGAGGACGGAAAACTTCAACCCAGACTCGGTAAGTTCTATGGAGCCTTGGACTAGAGCCAACGCTGAAGGTGTGATAGCCTAGTGGTGTGAGCTGGATTCACAAACTCGCCCAGCTCAACGACTCTTCGGTCTCATACCTCGATGAATTCTACCGCGCTCGTCTCCAGGCTCTTCAGGGTGTTGATGAGATCGTTGAGCAAGTGACCAAGCAACTTGAAGATGCTGGCATACTTGACGAGACATACATCATCTACAGCTCTGACAATGGATACCACTTGGGTCAACACAGACTTCCTCCTGGTAAGGAATGTGGCTTTGACGAAGACATCCGCGTGCCTCTTTTCATCAGGGGCCCAGGTGTATCCTCCGGATTCATCGATAATGCCGTGACCACACACATTGACCTCGCTCCTACGATCCTCAGACTCGCAGGTGCGGACCTTCGCAGCGACTTTGACGGAACTCCTATCCCGGTGTTGCCGACTCAGGAGAACAAGCGACACGAGCACGTGGCGGTTGAGTACTGGGGCGGTGCGATCGCTGAAGGCCAGATTGGTGGTTTTGGTATGTTAAGTCGACCTTGAACGTTGAGTTCAATACGCTGACAGAGTGCTACAGATGGTAAAGGCCAGATCTTTGCGCAGAATAATACATACAAAGGCGTGAGGATAGTGCACGAGGACTACAATCTTTACTACTCGGCTTGGTGCAACAACGAGCACGAACTCTACGACCTCAAGGTATGTTCATGTCATTGTAGTTGATGAGCCTGATACTCACCTCTTCTAGACGGACCCTGGACAGTTGAAGAACCTGTTCCCTCACGATGACGCGGCTGCCGATACAGCACTATTAGGAACTACTTCCCGACAGGTCCTCAATCGACTGGATGCTCTGATGCTCGTGTTGAAGTCTTGCAAAGGCAACACCTGCATTGAACCATGGAAGATTCTGCATCCGGAGGGTGGCGTGACGAGCTTGAAAGATGCTCTTCAGGCCAAATTTAACGCCTTCTACAAGGAACAGGTAAAGGTTCGGTTCGATCGTTGTGAGTACGGATACTTGATTGATGCTGAGGGACCTCAAGTTGGATATGAGTATCGTGAGGGCCTGGAGTGGCATCATTGGACTTGAGGGGCTGTCGCGTGAGGACTATATTATTAGCAGTACATGAAAGATGGGCTATAGCATCTGGTGTTACTTAGGATAAAGCCAAGAATGCATGTAAGGGCATATATAATAAGGTTTCTTCTCAATAATAACTGGCGTGATTAATGACAGATCGAGAGTCGGCCTTTGTCGGCATAGGCTGTAACATCATGACTCTCTCGGAATATGGTCTTGTGATGTCTTTGGGCTTCGCTAAATCTAAGCATGCGCTGATATCGTGTTGTTCTTGCGTGATGAAGAACTTGAGATCCTAAGCTTGCTTTCCTTCGGCACACTTAAGCAGTTTGTGAGGAATATTGGATGGGCTAAACCCTGGAAGAACAGGGCGCTTCAGGTAGGCCTACCGAAGAGCATTTGAGTTCCAATGAAAACCTCCAGAGGCCTGGTCATTTTGATGGGCCTGAGATCCTTGGCGTGCCTTGGGAACTGTAAGTCACTGTCTGCGATGAAGGGCTAGATGCCAACGTGGTAATTGACCGGAGGCAGAAGTTCGTGGATTGAAGATTATGTATCAGAGAAATAATAAAACAAGAGACCGCCAAAAGAGGAAGAAGAGCATCATGCAAATGTCTTGCCAGTTGAATGTCCGTCTCTTCACCAAGGTGCAGGTCCGGAGCCGGTGGTAGCCCGGCCCCACTATCTCCGGCGTGGATGAGGTCGAAGTCGTGATCCTCTCAGGCTCGCAACGAATATTACAAATGGACAAGCAGAATTATACTAAGCAATAATACTTCCACTGCCGCAAGAAGTGTTATAATTAAATTAGATGCAACACAATGTCAATTGGTGATTTGAAGTCGGCGTGGTAATTCACAAGCATTCATTGGACAGTAATCCATTTCTGCCGGAAATACAAGGCACAAACCGACGCATCCGACCTTGAACCGAAAGAGCATCTCACGACAGCTCTGCCAATCCAAGACAACCTCACATCTCGAAGTCCAATTGATCAGCAAACATGGCTTCCGACGCTATCACAGAGCCGCGGCGTACGTAACGACCCGATAATTAATACTCGAGCGACTTTTCCCTACCGAATATCGGCCGCTGACTTGCTGAGCAGAAGCGACCCGCGAGGAGATGCGAGATGCCAAACTCCCTCTGGCCTATCGAGACAGCTGCGCTCACCTCCTGATTCCTCTCAACAAGTGCCGACGGGATACGTGGTACGCCCCTTGGAAGTGCTCGGTAAGTCAATTACCTTTCTACAGAGCTTGAGCCCATGGAAGCCTAAGTCCGCGGCTACACCGAGCTCAGCTCAGCCCAGCCCAGCCAAGCTTCAGCCCAACAAAAAGCCAATCATTACCGAGATATCCAATATCAATAAACACCATGCTTACGCTAGAGGGATTGACTAGGATGAGCGACATAGCTACGAAAAGTGCCAGTACGTCGAGTTCAAGAAGCGAGTCGCCAAGATGGACGAGTTGAGGGAGTCGAAGGGAGGTGCACGAAGCAACTAGAGGACCAGACAAATATCCCCGGGTATAGGGCCGGGCCGGAACTGTACATTTTTACAAACAATCCAAGCCATTGTGTTTGACAAAGAAAACCGGAATAGAAAGAGGCATTCCACCTGAAATGAAACGCAATCGAGAACAAGACGAACGAGAAAGACGAAATTGTGAAATGATGGCGGAGCTTACATCCTACATGGCGTGAACAACTGGAATCGATGGGCTAATGGAAATAGGCAAGCGAGGAGGTTTGGGCAGAGCCTCATGAGATGCTGATGCGCACTTCCACGGCATAAGAGAGGGACCGGCAAAGAGTGGAGGAACAGTGGGACTTGGGAGTTGAATAGTGACAGGAATAAGAGCACGACTTGCAATGTCGCAGGACATCGTGGCGGAAATACCCTGTCTGGACCGGCACAAGACGACAAATACGCCGACGTGGTGTTGTGCCGGTTCCAAGAGGTCCAAGGGTGAGAATTATATAACGAGGCCGTGAGCCACCGCGAGATTGTGAGGTTGAGTTGGATATTGCAGAGAGGTTGAGTTATGGTGTTTTCCATGATTTTCTCCCATCTGTGGCCAGGATATCACCAATTTTTTTGTTCTTCAGTGCGTTGACCATCTATCGGCAGTTGGTTTCCGCAGAGCCTCAACACCACCATTTCCTATCGCCAAATTCTTATCGATTGCTGATCGACAGCCTGAGCCTTGACCACGGCTTCGAGAGTCACGATAAGATATGGACAACTTTTGCCCCTGTGTTTAGCCACTTGATGGCTGAGGTATGGTGAAACTGACGATCAACACGAAGACCGGAATTCGTCGGCTCAAGAAAGACACAAAGGGATGACACTGCTGCTTTTCCCCTTCATCTTGCACGCGATAGGGCAGATGACGATGAGTCGTGGAGCTTATTGCGAGTGGCATGGTCCCAGCGCATCACGAGTCAGATCATGTTCACTTCAGCCTCGCAGGTGCAAGCTCCAGGAGGCTCATGCGCTGGAAAGAGCCGCATGCAGGCAGTTCGAGCAAAGTTTTACGCTATGCAAGGTCCCACTCGCCCCAAAGCCAGGCAGTCAGCGGGTGGCTTGGCGGCAAATCCACTTTAGCATCCGAAGATCCTGGCAATGGAACCACATTCGACGTGATTTCCTTGATGAGATCCACTACCGATCCATCAAAGATTCAGACAAGCAAGCAAACCTTGTGTCAACGACGATCCACTACGGACCGGTTTGGCTCGGGACATGATTATCACTGCCATCAACCGGCCCGGTTGTGGTCGTGAGCATCGACTCGGCCGGCTGTGGATACATAGACTACTTATATATCCCAGGCTCGCGTCTTGGATTTACTGCCAAGACTACCACTACGGAGTCTCCGGTGACTTGACAACAACACAATTGGATCACCACACGCTACGTGGAACCACTATTTGATTTCTCTTATATAACAGTTTCTAACAAACGCTGACTGAAAATAACATGACACACATATACAGGGATGACAGGATTCAGGAGATACCAACGTAATGCTCTTACAAAGGGTGAAAGAACGATTCCCGCTGTCTAACGAAAAGAATAACTGGATACTTTACTTCATACACGAGTCTGAGACCTGCTCAGAAGAGGGCATTGCTTCCGCAGTCGAAGACGCCCTGGATGGAACTGGAGTCGTTGGCAAACAGGCCCAACAGCTCCGTTATAGATGACCACAGACCAGCCGCATTCATAAAGATCGAAATGGCGATGAGGAATGCGTTGAGACAGGTCAGCAGGATCTTGGTGGGGCTGGCAAACATCTGGTGCCAGTTCATGTGGAACCAGAACACGGCGCTGAAGCCGAATGTGAACCACGAGATGGTAGTCGCCGAGGCAATGGACAAGATAGAGTCGAACACGGGGATGGCGTTGGAGAGGATGAAGCAGAGAGCCCAGAAGACGGTCACGATGGTCATCCAGATAGACCAAGAGCGAACATTGTTGGCAGTCATCTCGCTCTGGAGCTTGAAGTGCTTCATCACCTGGACGTACACGTACTTGATTCCGGTGTGGCCAAAGGCGAGTCCGGTGGACAGAACAGCGGGGAGGACAATGCCGTAGGCGATCTTGGCAATGTTCTCTGAAGCCGAGCCGAGGGCGGGCGAGACAGTGAACTCACCAGCAAGACAATAGATGGCAATAGCCACGATAACGTAGAAGGTGATGGACACAACCTCCAACCAAGCCAGGGCAAAACCGAAGTCCTTGACGGGGTCGATCATCTCAGCCATGTAAGTGACGAAGTTGATGTTGCCAGAGTAAGCGTAGCAGATCTTGAGGCAGGCGTTGAGACCAGAGCGGAAGTCAGGGTTCGCAACGATCTTGATGTCCTTCTTCCAGCCGACGGGCGCAGCACTGGGGTTCTTGACTCCGAGAGAGATCATGACCAGCACCGCGGCGGCGATGACGGAGACCATGCAGGGGATGCCGGACTGCGAGACGAACTTGGAGGTTCGGGGCGCGCAGAGGACCCAGCAGCAGAGACAGCCGACGCCGATGAAGCCCACAGTGCAGATGGAGTGGCTGGAGATCGTGTTGAAGGCGATAGAGAGCGTAACACTCGCCGAAGCAGCTGTCATGATCACCTGGACCAACAGACCGATTCCAGAGGCGATCGCAAGAGGACGGCCGCCAACAACACGGGTCATGTCAACGACGTTCAGCACATGAGGATGTCTTCCAAAGAACTGCTTCAGCACGAACGCAGTATACCATGACAAAAGACCAATGCCGATGATAGCAATAAGACCAGGAATTATACCCATTGTCTTGAGGACGCTGGGTAACGACAACACACCGAGACCGACTTGGTTGGTAAGTAGAGCAAAGGTGGTGTCCCATTTTGTCATGTTGCGGAAGTTCTTGGAGCCCTCGCCACCGCCGAAGCCATTGTCTACGACGGGGACGTTGTGGGCGGAGTGAAGATCTATGTCGTGGCCCTTTTCATGGTCGAGGGGTACTTTTTCTTTGCTGTTGGTTTTGCTGGAGTCGTGGCCTTGGTCTGAAGGATAGATGTCGTTGTGGACGTCTTGAGGATATGTAGACATGATGGCGGTTGTACGGGCGTATATGTTAAGTGTGTATATGGGTATATAAGTATATTCAACAGGCTTTGCTTGCTTAGGGAGTACACATGAGTTATGATATATGATGGGTATACGAGATGGATGAGGAGGAAGGGGAGGATGAAGTGCAGGTTGAACACAGAGATGAAAGAGGAATATATAAGATACTGAGATAGCAAGGAATCCAAGAAGCTAAGCGTACAGGCAGGTCGGATAAGGGCTCGGAATTCCCTCATTAAGCTCCGCGTAGAGAATGGATTCTGGCCGTGCTTTGCTTGGTATTTGGGCGGAGGGTTCCACCAAGATAGGACTTGTAGTCGGCGAAAGAGCAGCCTTGGATTTCTGGGGAGACCCTCTTTCTTTCGCCGTATCTACCTATCTACGGAGTACGTAGTGCATCAGTCCGTTGGGGGTAAAACAGTGCCTTGTTCTTCTTTTCGTACTCAACTTGGACTAAGAGGTAACATGGAAGTCGGCTGTGTCGTCTCCCCATCTGTGGATTCTCTCTCGTGAGGAGATACTGCACCGTAGAGTAGATGCAGGACAAGACCCTTGGGGCAAACACTCCACGTTCAGTGAGGGATTACATGGGGTTTCTGTTAGGTATTTGCATGGTGCAATTGATGGAGTAAAAGCTGGGGACATGGGAAAGGGATCAGAGTGGTGGAAGCGCGCTAGAAGGCCGTCATGTTACGTACATGGCAATCCAAGCCGAGTAGCAGCAGCAAGACTGGACGCGGTTTGCCCGTTGTTCTGGGGCTATAAATCCGGGCCGTTAGTAATGACTGATCTGCAGGTGTTGCTGGGGACTTGTGTGTATCAATGGATAGAGCTATTGTCATCACTCGGTAGTTATAGGGTCTATCATGAATGATCTTCATCATGGTGTCCAAGATGATAATTGGTGATATCTGCACTCTACTGTAGTATCTTGTCATGATTTGGTTCTTCTCATGAGTGTACAAAGCTACCGCTTGTTGTTCGCCTCTGAATTGTGGTTCCAATAAGCTTGGCTACACTCATCCGAAAAGGGCAATAAAGCTACAAGTTACCTAACGTTAGTTTCAAAGCTTTTTTTTCCCTTTCACTGAATTCGAGGCTGACGGGCGCGTTACCGAGAGAGGGTTAAATCCGCAGCATGGACCCGAGGTGGATATTCCCTTTCTGGCCTCTTTTCTCCATAGCAATAAGGTACTTTATTTAATATGTCTGCTGTTGTGGTGATCATGCCATTCACCGCGGATGAAATTTGAAGGGCATGGATTTGGGTTCTTGTGTTTCTGTTATGATATGAAAAATGCTGCTGTTGAGTTTTTGCCACGCCAAGAATTGGGGCTTGGAGGTGCGGAACAAGGGACTGATGTGCTGTTTTGGGGAAATTTGGAGAGAGTTTTGGAGATGTGTTTATATTTACAGGGGTGATGTCCACTGAAGAAGCCCTGTAGCTAACTGTCTTTTCTCTTCTGGAGAAACACTCAACTGGTCTGTTGAAGATACGATGTCGAGCAACCCAGGTAATCGCGAGTCAACAAAAATAAGTATTACTGAGGAATAAGCTTATTACAATGTCATGCAAGAGTCAGTCACTGCGGCTTACAGTATCCTCAGCGCCCCAGCATCCCTGTCCTCCATGTCGTCATCCCTAATCCCTGACGACGCACTTCTTTTTGCCTCAGGGGTTTCGGTTCATCCATCCTGCACGCACGCACGCACGCACGCACGCACTGCTCGAAAAGCAAAAAAGTCTTCTAGTCGAATTCTAGAAGATTATGGCGTGGGGTGTTTGTGTTCCGTGATACGATATTCGGCCTGAGTCCGTTGCCAAGAGCACCCGGCTTCAACTTTTACACTCTCGTGAACCTATTACTCGACGTCTCTTGGTCTTGGCAGAGAAGAAAGAGTGAGATGGTATACTACGAGTCACTCGGCTTTTACGTACAATAAACAAAACCTGTCCATTGTCCCCATGGGACATCTCCATATTCCCCCAGCAATTTCACCTCGGGATACCCGGGGCACTCCAGCTTTTTGTTCTCTTGGCTTTTGGAACGTAGCGTGTTTGAAGAATGCTCTGTCCAAACCGAAATATTATCGACAGACGTGTCCTGTGCGTTGAGGTAATGCCTATGTCCTGAATCATGCTATTTCCTAAGCGGTGCACTATAGGCTCTGCCGCCGGCAGCTAGATAGATGGGTGTCTTCCGTGTCGCTGCCGGTTCTTGTTTGACCCTGTAGATCTGGTAATTCTGCGGCTTGCAGGGGTGGGCTGTGCTAATGCATCATTCGATATGAGTTGGTCACTTGGTGGGAAAGGAATACACCAAGATCGTCAGTGTTTCTGGAAGGAATCGATGAATAGCGGTTCGACTATCGTCGGTTCAAGAGTGAGCAGATAGACACCTTCACAGCCTATCATGTACTACAGAGTAAAAGCAGTGATATCATTTTCTCATCGACCTTCTGTGTCGTTATGCATCAAGCCGCCTCGTACCGAAGCTTGGCCTCTCGACATGGCAAGTATCCTCTCCTCAAGCATCCGTCAATCTCCCAAAGTCTTGGCCGGTAAAGACATCCGGCCTCCCCAAACTCAGTGCAGACCTTGAATCCTATACTTACAAAGGAACATCAAAGCCCGGATCAGCATCATGATAATAACTCTTGTAAGTAATAAAGGCCGATAATCTGGATGCCTATTACATCACAGCACAGCGTAGGGCCTCATGAGGGTCTAAGCATAATTCACGTCCCCATCGCTTCAGCGGAAAGAGTCGGTCTTTCTCATCAGTGCTTTCTCCGCTTCTAAAGGAGTGCTGAGGGCTTCATGTCCAATAAGCTTGGTTAGCGAGTATTTATGTCTGTGCTGATATCCTCACCGATGTGTATATGGCCCGAATGTTCTCCATTCAAGACCGGCTTCAAAGCCGGCGATATCCTCCTGCACAAGTTATGCTTTGCCCCGATGCTTTAATTACGTATGGAGTCTTATCGGTTACTCAGTATCGAAACTCGTCACGTCAAGGGTCTAAATTCATTCCGCGCCGGGGAAGGGATGAAGCAGGTCGTTCCGAAGTGAAAGCAGGGACATGTTTCCCATTGCCTTGATGAAGATCTTGATGCCCCACGAGATAACGTGTATCAATCTCATGACTCGATCATATGACTTCTCCGACTCTTTTACGTTACTTGAAAGGAAAGTTGAGCTTTGACGATATCATCAACGCGCAGTCTGGCATCAGCATCGTCAGCATGGTGGAGATCTTTGCGATTGTGGACAGTTCAGACGCGGGATGAAACATTGAGGCTTTATTCCTTGTCATACTAAGTTCTGAAAATACTTTCCAGGCTCTAAATTACATCCCATGGGGATTCGCCAAACCAGGAGTCGTGACTCTTTTCGACAGCCCTGATCAATCAGCCCGTGCATTTCAAAACATAAAACTTCGCCATTTGCAGGAAGGTACACCGATTCCTTCCGAGTTCAGTCGCGTGTTGCGTCCACTCGACGCCAGTAAAAGCCAGAACGTCGCCTCGGCTTGCGCAAACAGAATTCTAGGTCATCAACCTTCAAGATCAAGGCTGCTGACATCTCGCAATTCCCTGGTAGGCCGCCAACTCAGCCGGGAACTCCTCTTCAAAGATCTCAGCTGCGTAACTGTACCAGTCACTGTTCGCCTCGCTAGTTCTCGCCTCAAAGAACCGTGCGTACTCCCACCAAACTGGATACTGTCCTGCACAGTCCCAACCAAGGATCCAGCTGATAATGTTGTTAGAGACAACAATGTTCTTTGGGCACAAGGCCCCATGGGTGAGCACCGAAGAATAATCAGTACGAAACTGAGAGATCAAGGCCTTGGACACAGCCTTGGGCACCGACTCATACAAAGTTGACATGAGAAGTGCCATGAACTGCTTCTGGTTGGGGCTTGGACGAATTGCGTAGTAGGTATGGTCAGGATGCTTATCTTGAAGCAAGGTGTACTTTCCTGCCTCGATAGATCCTAGGGGAAAACCTTGTCCCTGCTTGCTCTCACTTCGCATCTTGTTGAGGAGGTTGCGGAGTTGCCTGGCGTACATATACTTGTCACTCTTTGTCAGTCTAGGCCAAACATCCTCAAGCAACTCGCCAATCACGGTGCGAGTAATGGCGCCTTCTGAAGAAGAGATGTCCTGATCATGAAGGGACAGAGGGAGAGCTCGAGTATGGCCCAGCATGGACAGTCTCTCATGCTGGACCATTCCAGCATTGGAGATGAGAAAGGTATATGTCTTGGGCTTGCCAGGCGCATCATTCTTCTTGCTCGGAGCGGCCTGCAAGCAGAGGTTCAAGTTCCGGTTTCGCAAGAGTGAAGTGAGGTAGTGGGTGGAGTCGTCTGGCAGAGGAGCTACGCATTCAATCAGTGCTTTTGAACCTGTAACCACTTGCATTTTTGCTTACCATGACCAAGGGGCTGTACATCGGTGTAGTACTTCTTCGCGGGAGTGATTTTTGGCTTCTTGTCACGTTTCTCCTTGGCCTCCATCATGAGCTCGCTGATGGACCGCTTGAAGGAGCCTCCGTCAGGTTTCTGAGAGCCCCGGGAGGAACGGTTAGACCAGTCACCCAAGGCATCTCCATTAGCACCTGTGATCCTGAAAGGAGCCAAAGACTCCTCTCTTTTGACGAAAAGGGCTGGCTTGGGAGACTTCTCTCGAGGAGCCTCAGTGAGCATCCGAACCCGCTCAGGATTCATCGCGGTCACGTCAGGCGCGGGTGGAACAGAAGGACCCGGAGCGGGATCCGGAGCTGGGCCAGGGTCAGACATGACAGTAAGTTTAGTAGCCCAAGAGCTTTGCAGACTGCACAAAGATCTGTAAAGAGTGAGAGGTTGCAGAAGCTGATGGAGATGGCCAAAGACCATCGAGAGCTGATTTCAATCGTAGCACAAGATTGTCTTTGTGCATAACAGACGGGAACAACAAACGGAAAGGAAACTCGAGAATGAGATGACGAGATGTAAGCAAAACAAAACAAAAGAAAAGAAAGCATTTCAGGCCCCGTCGGTGTCGTCATCTGAAGGCCCCTTCCTTTGAGGCGAGTTGTAAACGCAACTGCCTCGCACCTGCCTGGCACTGGCGACTGAATAACTGCGCCAGTTCCCCATTTCACGAGGGACCCAATCAAACACAAGAAAGCCGATAATTTACATTCAAAGGAACCGATTGCTTCTGAATCATCGTAACATAGCAGGGTTCGTGGTTAATGAAAGCCAGAGTGTCTGGCTGCTGTTGTTACCCATCAAGACCGACCTTTTGTGATGTTGGTTGACAATGATAGAAAATATATCTCAGCAACGCATCAAGCTGTAGCATAAACTGGGCATTGTTTTCTTGTATTAGAAACAGATGTTGATGAGAACCACGGAACGGTGTGTGGTTCTGTGCAGACTGACACGGTTAGTAGATAGACAATTAAGGACTGACAGGAATTTAAATCTGAAAGGAGCACGCCTTTACACTCACAGTAACTTCAAGAGAAGATGGCACTAATAGATATAAGATAATTTTATTTCATAAGCTCAACATAAATCTGTTACTGATATAAAGTGGAATTCGTTTCCCGACCATACAGCCCAACATTTCATACATAAGCCCGTCGTAGTCATGAACAACATTTCTAACAACCCTTTGACCTCAAACACATAAACGTCTATCCTCTTTTTTTTTTACCCCAGAAATTTTCGGATAAAACGGAATCTATGACAAGGAGCAACGGTGCTCAAAACATTACTCGCCGTTTTCCTGGACCGGCTCCTCTTCCTTTCGCTGCGTGTAGTGGCGAGGAAGACGATTCTCGCCCTCAGTGTAAGGGAAACCAGCCTCTTCACGAGCCATATCGTTTACCCACTTCTCATTACCCTTGAGGCCAGGGTTGCAGCCCAGCTCCTGGCACTTGGCAGCCAAGTAGAACCAGCCAAGAGCGTTTCCGACAGTGCCGACCTCGTCACTGACACCGTTCTTAGCCTCACGAGACATCCTGGAATGGAGCTCATGATCAGTGTAAAGGTCCATGAGATGTCCAGCAACGGTCTTGTAGTCGCCAGGGGTAACGAGAAAGCCATTGACCTTGTCCTTGACCTGAAGAGGAATACCGCCTTCATTGGAGACAATCACAGGAACCCCAGCGTGAAGAGCTTCAGAAACCTTGATTTCGAAACCCTCACGGGTGGACAGCTGGAGAATAACGTGGGCATTGGCAATGATCATGTTGAGAAGCTGGTCGTTGGCGTCCAGGCGCATGACGCTGACGTCGTCGAGAAGGTGAGGGTAATGATCTTCAAGTTGAGCCATGGTCTGATCAAAGATGATGGCACCATCTGGGTCATCAATGGACCCATTACCGCAGCTATAAAAGTTAGCAGCAGTTCTAAGATTGGCACATTATTGACTTACACAACGAGCTGAGGAACATCAGAAATGTTGGCCTCATCACAACGGCGGCGGAACTCAGCGTATGAGTCGATGACAGTGGGGATACCCTTGGCTGGGTCGAATCGAGCAACTTGAGCAATGTACTTGCCTGCAGATCGGTGTTAGTTGATTACTACTAAACGACGAGAACTAATCTTACGGTTTGGCCAATCGAGCTCAGTCATTCTCTGGTTTCGGCACTGTTGATTGTAGATATGAGCATAGTAGCCGGTGTCCCACTTGTTCATGTGTTTGTTGAGGCCGTCAATCCAGTCGGTAGTAGCGGGGAGATAGACAACCTTCTCCTTGGGAACCGTGTGAGGAACAAACTTAGGGATAGGGTGACTGATGAACATATCGGACTCTTTAATGTTGCTCCAGAGGTAGTTCCAGATGTCATTCTGAGGAGAACCCTCGATTGCGACGAGATCGCTTCGGATCTGAATGTGCGATCGGTACAGAATAGGGCGATCAGGTGTGATTCTCTTGATCATGGGGACGAGACCAGGCATCTGAGGGTCATCGATCTATTTCCGTTGTTAACTCCCGTGATCCCAATTTTCGAAACAATTGACCTACAATGATGACATCAGCACCACCATCCTCAGGGGGACGCAGAGGTCCACCCTCAGACAGCCAGTATCGCTTAGCATTCTCTTCAATCCAGTCGGTGATAGCAGCCTTCTCCGCGTCCGAAATGCGCTGGTCAGGGTGACTGACACCCTGGAGAATGTTGTGCTGATTCTTCGTGATTCGGAAAACGCCAGGTCGTGGCTTGGGCACTGGAATCGAGTCAGAATCGTGTGATGGCTGATATTCTCTGGAGTGTTTCTACATACCATACCAGGTCACATCAACACCCAAGAGACGGCTAAGACGGACAAGAGCGTGTCGCATGAGAGCGACACCACCACCCTGAGGAGTAGCACTGAAGAATGCAATCTTAGTCTTTTTCTCGCGGAGCTTGTTGGCATAGAACTGCATAGCACCCCATGTGGCACTTGAGCAGGTGTCCTTGTGGTTTTGAAGGTTGGTGAGATGAACACGGAAACCAGCGTCTGTCTGAACAATACCGCGGTAGCCGACCTGCAGATGAGGAACAAGAGAGGGACCAAAGTTACTGAAGCAAATATTGTCAGTTGCTATTTATGCGGACATTCGTTTTTCTTGTCAACTTACAGAATACACTTTCGGGCCATGGAATCTGCTTGCTCATCAACGCGCTTGACGTCCCAGAAGTTCTTCTCCTTAGCTTCGTGGTCGGGTCGGAGCACAACAGGTACAATATCGAGGTCAAGCCAAAGGCGCGAGCACAGAGAAGGACTCATGTACTTGAGGGTGACGGGGAGACCAGCTCCAATGAACTTGACAAAGTTCTCGTGCTCATAAGTCTCTACCTCGTTGATGATGTGGTTAGCAATGAGATCCTGGCCCTCACGCATATCCTCATCGAGGGAGATGTGCTTGATGGAGAAATCATTGAGGTAGACGGTGTCGTGGATAGCAAGTGCAATCACAGCGGTATGGTCATCGGCGAAAACGGCAGAGATTCCAAGGTACAGAGTCTACGATTGAACTGTGTTAGTCGCTTCATGTGCTAAAGATGAGATCGACCTCGGTCTCCATAATACAGGGATCTCAAGAGCTCCAATTGCTATGACGCAAGTTGTCATGAGGGATACATGATACGACGAAAACGGGAAGCACGGGATATCAAGAGCAAACTTACCTGGAGAGGGGCATTGACGTGACCATCCTTTTCGACGAGAAGGCTCATCTGCCTCTTGCGGTGCGACGTAGCGCCCGTGGAAAACTTGCGGGTAGGCTTGTTGGAACTCATGATGGCAGCAATTGTAGCAATTGGCGGGGTATTGGTTGTAAAGGCGGGGTAGGTTTTGGTGCTAATTAAAAACGAACGAGCTCTCTCTGTGACGTGAAGAGAAGAAAGCTCAAGTGAAGCAGCTACGGATGGATGTAGAAGAAGTGAGAAGAATGAACAAGACTGCGGCTGGGCTGGACGACAAGATATAGTCTTGGTACACCTCCTTGATCAGGTCAGACAGACAGACAGAAAGGCGGTCGTGGGTAGGAGGTCGGGATCGAAAGAGTAGTGGAGCTATAGCACAGCTTGAACGTGGACACCCCGGGTGAGATGTAGAGTATGAGGGATCGAGGGCCCTGAGAGATTCGTGTTGGCAGCGACCGAGCAGGGAAGCCAGACAATGTGCAGAATGGAAGACAAGGTCAAGCTTGGTTGAGGTACCTGGACAATAGAGGAGGCCCCGTCAGCGCGGGTCTCTGCAGGAGGTTGACGAGGGTGGTGATGTATGTACAGTACTTGACGGCCTCGTGTGAGACAAACAGACAAGGAAGCCGACTGGGGGCGGGGAAGGGTTAAGAGACTGGGCGTGGGGTCAAGAGCCAGTTACGTTTAAGGAAACAAGGTGAGTAACTCGAGCAGGTGATGATTCTTCAAGGTGAGGAGACGAGTGGTGTCAGGGAATGGAAGACGAGCAGAAGCTTGGACAACCTTGGAATGCTTCGTGATATCACGTTGACTCGTGTTTGGTTGAGGAGGCAAGAAGGAAAAATTGAATGAGGCCTTGCCCTTGCCGCCTTTGTGAGTTGCGAAACTACGGGATGGATGGAAGCAAGCAGGAGCGGGCGTTGGGAAACTGTAGGTGGCACCTACTTCTTCTGCGATGGCCCGTCTGCGTGTCAGTTGACAATGGTTTTTACCCAATACCTTATCTTGGAAGCTCAAACCCAAGGTAACGATTTTCTCGTTACCAACGATAAACACGAAATCGAAACAAAGTATCAAAGCCGAAGAGCCCGGGATCACGGAAACGGGGGGGTCAGGAGAACGAGAGATGCAGGGCCAAGTGAGGTAATGAGGACGTGGTCTGATATGCGCTATGAGATCACCGGATTGGGTGAATCGGATCGTGGGCCTTTGACTTTGGTGCTCAAAGATTGAAGAAAGAGCCGTTATGAATCACGACTTTCTTAGAGACACAAAAATGAAAATATTCAAATCTAAGCGCCGCCAACGTGCTTGCTGCAGGTACGGCGTCGCATCCAGATGCTGTTGGTAAGTTTTGATGAAGGGGACAAAGTGAGGAGAAGAGGGAAGAGTGTGAAGATGAGATGCGACGAGTGACATTCTGAGCACCGCACCGCAGAAAGAATGGAAAAGAGGGACTCGGTGAGGTTTGTGAGCCCCCCAAGGATGCAGCCACAGCATCACTCATTCTTGTTACTGTCCATTGAGTTGCTGTTGTGTAATGAGCTTCAAAGTGTAATGCTGTCCCGCTTCAGGCTAGCCAGTTACTGGTTAGACAGGCGGGCTTGG